ACATTTCAGGCCTATCTTCTTACTTGTGTGTGTAAATTTCTAAGTGAATATTCTTTTATAATTGTACAGATAATTCAATTAGAATAAACCTAAATTACCAATTTTTATATTGAGTTATCTGACATTTATTCATTCATGCAAGCATAGTTGTTGGTTATTCAGCGGCTTCCGAAGCTGATACTCAGTCACCATCTAAGTGGAGAGATTTTAATTCTGAAGATGTCATTACCTTCTCAGAAGTTAATATCATCACCCCGGCACAGAAGATATTGGCTAGGGAGTTAACATGTGATATAGTACCTGGGAAAAGCTTGCTTGTTACTGGTTAGTGTGTAATTCTTTTTTCTTGTTCTCATAGTCATTATATCTTTATCTTGCTACGAAAATCTATACCTGAGACGTATGCCATTCGTGAAGGTCCAAATGGGAGTGGAAAAAGTTCTGTCTTTAGAGTTCTTAGAGGTCTTTGGCCCATCACGAGTGGAAGAATCACTAAACCATCACAACATGTTAAGGAAGATGTTGGATCTGGTTGTGGAGTGTTTTATGTTCCTCAGCGGCCTTATACTTGTTTGGGAACACTCAGGGATCAAATTATATATCCTCTATCTTTTGAGGAGGCTGAGTTAAGGGCATTGAAGTTGTATCGAGAAGGTGAATTTCTTTCATAATATCAGCTTCTGGTATGCTTATCATTTTCTGTTCTCACTTATTTAGATGTGGTTTATTCGTTTAGGAGTACGGGATTGAAGCGTTCATTTCATTGTTTATATATATTTTGCACTCATTAACAGAATACGGAAGTGCTTGCAAGTTTTTTTATTTTTCTTTTAAAGGGAAAGGATAATTTAATGAATTAAAATTATCACTAGTTCTCAAATTTCTCTGTTATAAATAAAATGGAGTAGGTGTAAGGTTGAAAAGAATGAGCTATTTTCCAATTAGTAAAAGCTATGCTTTTCTGCAATGTATAATAAAAACTTCATATCCTGAGTTCTATTGATACAATTTCATATTTTTGATTAAAAAAGATTATAATTGTATAATAAATTTTTAGAAAGATAAAAGTGGTAATAAGCATATGAACTATCCTTAGTAGTTATTAGAAAACCCATATTTCAGAAAACTAGGAATCAAATGAGGTTTTGAAATGTTAAATTTAAGTGAATTCAATTTTAGAAAGGATATGATTAAGAAACTATCTGTAATTAATAGAGACAAGAGAGGCAAGACTACAGGTGGAAGGAAGAGAATGACAAGAGCAAGAGTGGAGCTATGTAGTGAAAGAAAATGGTCGATCCCTTCAAAAAATGAATAATTAGGGTTTTGGGGTTCTACACATTGGCAAATGAAAGTAGGAAGTCCAAATATAGAATTGGCTTCAGTACAGAATTAGAGCACAAATTTATAGGCTGGAAAACGAGTATAAATCTAGAAGACCTTGAAAATTAACTAATGAGTGGACTAACTGGGTTCCTTCATTCCCCTATGAAGCTCTTTTATTTCCTGTCATAACACCAGTTCTTCTGAATTCTCGATTTCTGTTTAATCTAGCTTTCATGTAAAGTACATATGCCAAAACTTATTTCTTCTTTCTGTCGGCTGGTTGTTAATCACCAAAATATTCAATGAACTATCTAGAGCCTTAGACAGATCCCAGCTGTGAAATAATTGATCTTTGCCTCCTAGAGGCCACCACGCAGAGTGCACCAAGCATAGCCAGAAAAGCCTTATCTTGCCTTCATCTAAACGTGCAACTGTAATCAGCAGGTTTAGTGATCCAAATCCTATAGAATATTGTAGCAGCAACAAAGCATTTTTGACATCCAGACAGTATTCAAATGCTAATCTGTACAGTAGTATCCAACTATAAAGATGTTGATTTAATCTCATGAAATATAATTAGAAAGGGAAACCATTAGCTTGCTTATTACGAAGTTTGGGGAAATGAGTCTACATACCTTGTTAGCATGTATAATAGACACCTTATCCTTTTTAATTGTGCTCTAACAACCTAGAAAAAAAAATATTCACTTTTCCACAATCGGGTTTTGAAAATTGTTACTGTTTCAATTCAGGTGAAAAATCTTCTGAGCACACCAATATTCTAGACATGCGGTTGAGAACTATTCTGGAGAATGTCCGATTGAGTTATCTTTTGGAAAGGGAAGAAGGTGGTTGGGATGCTAATCTGAATTGGGAGGACACTCTCTCTCTTGGAGAACAGCAGAGATTAGGCATGGTAAGCAAATATAATAGTTTCAAATCTTGCTTGAGCATGAACTTTCTTATTCTCTTTCAAGGATTTGCTTGCTGTCTGACTTGATACTTTGTGTTTTACAAGGCACGCCTATTTTTTCACAAGCCTAAATTTGCCATCCTTGATGAATGCACCAAGTATGTGACCGCTCCGCATTCTTTTTTGTCTTTTTGTTTTACACTCTAAAGAAATGTCTGTTATCTAATATTTGTTCTACATATATGTCTTCTTCTCTTTTTTTATTCTTTGTCCCTTTTCCTTGTTTAATTATTTGAATAAATGGCAGTGCTACGAGCGTTGATGTTGAAGAACAACTTTATCGGCTCGCAAAAGACATGGGTATCACAGTTGTTACCTCCTCACAAGTAAGTACTATATAACTATATGGAGGTGTATATCATTCTGCATTTTGGTGTACATGAGATAACTTTATAGGACTTTTATCTGGTTCAGATCAGGTCCTTGTGTGATTCTTTTTATTTAGTTTTATCGTTGGAATGAGAAGACCAATGGATGTAATGCCTCTCTGTTGGATATTCTTGCGATTTAGCTCTCTCATTATAGTTATTTCCCTCAAAATTTTATACCATAGTTATGTCTGAGTTTCATAATTTTTTTTTCTTTCACATGTTCTCAGCGTCCTGCTCTAATTCCATTCCATGCTCTGGAATTACGGCTCATTGATGGCGAGGGTAACTGGGAGCTTCGTTCAATAAAACAATGAGTTCGCCATGGTGGAATTACAGCTTATTTATTGTGAGGGTAACTGGAGCTTCGTTCAATAAAGCCATGGGTTGACAGTGTTGGCATCTGCAGCTAACCGTTTGTACAGTGTAAGATGCTTTTATTTTGGTGACTTACCATTTGTAGTATATCTTATAAGTCGCAATAGAGGCAAGCCGGAGGGGGTTTTCCTATCCAGAGAAATTTATTTATCTTAGAGCGAGCTGTGTTACTTTGCTCCTACATGACAGGTAGCCTGAAGGAGAAGCAGATCTCTTCATTTTTTGTGCGAATTCCTGTCGAATTGTGGACAATAAGATTGGAGCATACAACACGGTAATAATCTCTGTAGGTTAAAGAAATCTTGTATGTACAGTTTTCCCCAATTTTTCCCAACTTTTGGGTTGTAAGAAATCATAATTTAATCATATTGATGAGCCTCCATATAGAAAAAAAAAAATATGTGTAGGTTATTGGGCATCTCTTTGTAAACTGTATCCTGCCCCCTCGCCCCCTTCATAACCAATATAGCAGTTCCTGCAGCTTCAATTCTTTGGATGCTTATTGCTTCATCGACTATCATTTGCTTCATATGTTGTTTGTTTGGCATTTTCACAGCTTTATTATTTTATTTTGTTTCTTAGTTTTTTTGTCTCAACAAGCCACCTAGCTACCTACTATACATATTGGTAGGGTTATGTTCAGGTTAGCACTGTCCTTTACACCAAATTGCCTGTTTCTAGCGGTAGTTTCAATGTGGACATCTTAGTACCCTTTGCTTGGGTTTTCCTCAAGCTCTCTCTCAAATTTCAAATGTTGAAGAGTAAGTGATCTAAGGACCTCTCTCATATGGAGAGAGAGGGGAGAGCTTTTGCCCGTTGTAGAACATCTCATCTCTTTAAAAAGAAAAATAATATGGGATGGAATAGTAGCTAGGGTCGAAATTTGACTTTTGATGTGCATGCCGATCTGTCATCCAACACTTAACGGCAGGTCAGATATATGAGTTGGTGAAGATGAGACTCTTGGAGCAACTCGACTGGTTGCCCCAAACTCACCCGGTTGACAAGATGACTCCTTGAACATCAAGTTCTTGGAGAAACATGACCGGCCGCCCGATAATCAATAACTGGTCGCCCAAGGCAATACTTGAACATTGAGCAAGGATTCTCATTCCTCTGAGCCTAAATGCACGTCAACCTAAAAACTAAGGGCCTGTTTAGTATTCAACTTGAATCCAACTTTTTAAACTCAAAAACAGAATTTGAGTTCAAAACAAAGAAAACCTGTTTGGTAGCCCTATTTTTAAAAACACAAACTCAAGAACAACTTAAAAACACCCCAATTATTAAAAACAAAAATATCTGTTTTTTCAGTTTTTTTCTAACAACCCACAAGTTCTCAAATTTTTAAGATTTAAAAACAGTTTTCAAGTTGCATACCAAATAAGTTTTTGAATCTTAAAAATAGATTTAAGAACTCCTTGTTTTTAAGAAAAATCAAAGTTTTTGAGTTCCCTATTTGAATAGGATACCAAACGCCCCTTAAGTTTCTAGGATTCAAGTTGTGAATATGTAATGCATGACGCGTTCATAACTCGAGAGTTCCAAGAGGTCTTCAATACTCTTCAAGTCCAGCCGACGACAAACTGTAAAATGATTTTTCAGAATAATCATTTTCTCAAGATAAGTTTTGCCGGCTTTTATTCTTTACATATCAAATAAGAAAACTTGATTTTATGGGATTTTAATATGAAGTATATATTGACTTAATGAGCCATCATTTTTAGCCTAAATCGTATTTGCACTAAAACCAATTTTTCATATTTTGATTTGGTGGGAATTTGATTTTCTAGTATTTTTATTTGAATCCAAATGGGGGGTACTTCTTTATTTATATTGTAAACTTAAGTAAAATAAAAATAAATGAAAGTAAAAGGACAAAGATATTTACTTAAATGTTGAAAATGGAAATAAGGCAATCTGTACAACGTCCTCTCCTGTCTGCTGTGCTGGTGTGTTGCGCTCTCTGGAGCATTTCATCAAGCAGTTTGTGGGCAATTTGCTGGGGTCAACATCTTGCGGGGTCAATTGATCCCTCTTGCCCCTATGTGGATCCGCCCTGATGACATGGCATCGACTATGGTCCATGACTTTTCTCAAAAACCTAATTTTCCTTTCGGGGTAAAGTGGTGTGAAGCTTTCTGACTCCCATAGGAAGAGAAAAGTTGTCTCATCCTCCAAATCGTTTTGGGCTGTCTGAAGCTGCTGTCTTGTCTCTCAGTTACAGGTATCATCCCATGTCTCTTTGGAGGAAGCTGTTCTGTACTCTCCTACTCAAATATCATGTGTTCAACATGTTTCTTGTTTTTTTCACCCTCTTACGTCATTTGGGGATTTGTGTATTTTCATGATTTGGGGATAAAGCTTAGGGTTAGGATGATTTTTTGCATTCTCTATTTTCATAGATCTAAGGCTTTAGTTTAGGAGTTCTTTGTAAAAAAAAAAAATAATAATAAATAATAAATAATAAATAAATAAAAAAACCTGACCAACAAGAAATATTAGGTGTTGCTTGGGATTACTAGTTGTTATGACCATGATTATTTTCAGAACATATTTCTTTAAGTACTGTAGTGGATCCTACATTATTCTCACAAGTGGTGTTTTCTTGGTATGCAAAAGATACAAAATCAGAGGATCGGATTCCTTTCTGGTATATATTTTGATGGCACTCGTGGAAGCAAGCTTTACTTTGGCATATTTTGAGAATGTTAGTTTAGCATACTTTCTGATATGTATTTTGATGGCATACGTGGAAGCAAGCGTGGTATGTATTTTGATGGCATAATGTTAGAACCACTCTGTATCTTGGATTACTGGGAGTTGGTGAGATAGTTAGAAAATATATATCAGCCGCTCTATCCTGGAGTTGGTGAGAAAGATGCGCACAACACAACTCCCCACAAATATCTAAGTGTGTGCTCCTCAGTCTTATGTTCAGTTTTTCTTCCTCAGCATTCCATTGCTTAATGCTTGATAGATTGTGTTGCTAAAAAGTGTGATTGTGCAACTGTGCGTTCATCATCTCCTTCTACCTATAAGAGAAACTAGGTCTCTGTGCGTGTGCATCTTCATCCGTCTCCAATCTTGTTCTAGTTTATTAATTAACTAATAATAATGAAGCATTAATATCCTGCTGTTTGTCATGCGCTGTTACAGAAGGTAACTAAGATGGTCGAAGGTGTGCTTACTTTTGCGGCCGAGGGAGTATTGATGAAGCTGTCTTCCCTTGCTGCTCAAGAAATCACTCTTTCTTGGGGATTCAAAGGTGAACTAAACAGACTTCGCAGAACACTGTCCACCATTGAAGGGTACTTAGGTGACGTTACCGACCAACCACAAGATCGGGGCGACTCCATAGAAGATTGGGTGAAGAATCTTAAAGGCATAGCTCAAGATGCGGATGATGTCTTGGATGAAATCAACTATGAACTTCTCCGACACAAAGTAGAGCTCCAAAACCATATAAAGAAAAAGGTACTTAACTTCTTTTCACTCTCCAACAATCCAATTGCCTTTCGTCTTAAAATGGCACATAAAATTCAGAAGATCAATGCATCCTTGGAAGATCTCAAGAGTGAGGCATCTGTCATTGGACTAGTTTCCAAGAGAATAGATGCAGCCCCTCAAGGAACTAGAGGACGCATACAAACAGACTCACTCCCTGAAAATGATGGAATCATTTTTGGAAGGGATAAGGTTGTGTCAGATATAGTTACAACCTTGACCAACTCCAACATCAATCAAGAAAATCTTTCGGTTATGGCCATTGTGGGAATGCCAGGCCTAGGAAAGACAACTTTGGCCAAGTCAGTATACAATGATAATTCTATAAAAGGGTATTTTGAAAAAAGGATATGGGTGTCTGTGTCTGATCCTTTTAACATCAATGTGATTTTGATCTGCATGTTAGAATCTCTTAACCCAACAAAAGCCACTGTAAGAGAAAATCTAGATGCACTGCTTACTTACCTTCAAGAAGAGTTGAAAGAGAAAAGATACCTACTCGTACTTGATGACGTCTGGAATGAGGATTCTAGACAATGGAACAGATTGATGAGTTATTTGGAAAGACTTAATTATGCTCCGGGAAGCAAAATTATTGTCACTACCCGCAGTGCCAGAGTTGCATCGATCTCAGAAAAACTACTTCTGCGGCATAATTTGAGTACTCTGTCAACAGATGAGTGTTGGTCCATATTAAAAGATAGAGCTTTCCTAGATGGTAGTGCTCGCATGGATCCTGATTTAGAAAGAATTGGGAAGCAGATCGCTGAAAAATGTGCTGGTGTCCCATTGGTGGCAAAGGTACGTAAGTACTATTGTATTATAACATTAACTTTACACATGCTACTTTTGATTTACATTTTTATTTTTAAATTATATTCAACTCAGAAGTTACTGGGGAGGGGGATGAAAAATATTAAGCAAATTAACTGATCCAATCCAATTGAATTTTATTAGCTGTATCTTTTTGCTTAATTGGATTGGATTGCATTTGCTGCAAATTTTGAAACTTGACCAATACAAACTAATCCCATTAAGGTTATGCCAGTCTTATCATTTGATGAAATGTTATGCTATAACTCCAATTTGTATTTGTTAGTTCTTGTATTTTCTAATTCTTTTGTAAGTGTTACCCAAATTGTAGAAAAGAGTTTGATATGTATGATTTACTTAAGTCTATAAAAGAACAAATCTAATAGTAAATACTAAAAAGAACTCTAAACAAGCTATAAAAAAGGCCCCAAATATAAAGCTAAAGTAGAAAACAGTCACACGTTCGACAAGTGATATAGTAATTTCTCGAATCTAGGGAATAAGCGGACACATGCTCGGTGAGTAGATTATGTAGTATTCTAACCAAGCAATATTGTGTTACATGCTGCACAAAACACAATTGTTTCAAAATTTTCTAGTAAATTTCTTATCAAAATATAAATCACACCATATCACATCCCACTAAACCTTCATATGTGAGTTAATTTGAGATGTAAGTGGTCCCTAATTTCCTCACGTCTTCATGTGGCGCTTTCATCTCTCAGATAAGTATAAAGTCCTCATGTCCTCATATTTCATGAATAGCACACACTTTCATGCATAAATATAAACCGAAAACGTTTCACAATAAAGTAAATGCCCTATTTCAAATGGAGATATAATTTATCAAAACCACGAAGTCTATAACAACATCATGGTTTCCATCTTTGTAGTAAAATATAGAGGTTTGATAATACATTTCATAAACCACTCACCTTCATATTGAGCTGTTAACTTGTATAGCAACTCATATGATCTTTAACTCATAACGAAAAGAAAATTCAACGTCCTAAAGAGTTGAAAAAAGCAACTACTTGTTTAAAAGAGTAAGAGATGCTATTAGTAAAAAAATGTGACAACAATGGTAGAGTCACCAAATGATGATCCACATATTGTCACGAGTTGCCTTAGCCCCCCGAACCTCCATAGGAGATCTCTTAATTTCTTTTAAAAAGTTTACCAATATATGTAATGATTTGGACAGTTTGGACAAACCACATGTTATTAATCCTTAAAGATAAGCACCTAACTCTGCCTCTCTGTTTGGCTCAAGGTTTAGGAGTTTGGGAATGGGTTTCAAATTGCATTCCCATGTTGGGTAAGTGCACTCCTGGGAATGCAATTATGGACTCATGGGTATGGACTTCCCATGTAGGGGAAAGTTCATACCCTTGGCTCAGCTTGGGAAATTTTTTCCCCTCACTTGGGAAAGCATTTAATGCAATTTTTTGGACTAACTTACCCTTGTTGTTATTTTAAAATATCACTTTTGACCCTTAAAAAAACTCTTCAAACTAATAGCTTTTAATAATAAAAAAGCAAGGGTATTGTTGGAAAACCGATCAACTTTTCATAACTAATACTGTACAAACCAAACATGGGAATGGGAGAAAACGACATTTCCTAGTCCTCATTTCCCAGTGTTCCCATACATGGGAATGAACATTCTCCTCCATTCCCATCTCGTGAGATTAGACATGGGAAGTTTATTCTCAAGAAGTTCAATCCACTAACCGAATGGGGTGGTACATGTCAATATTGTCTTGTTTGAAATAAATAAGCTTTAAAGTGTACTTATATTTTAATTAATCAAACATTGCCACATGGTTTGATGATAAAATATAGTGAACAAATTTGTTTTTTAAAATGTTCTTCCAGTACTTGTAGATGACGAGGGAAACCCAAATTGGATTGGATCCACAACCACACAACTTACTAAAGACATTTTTTTCCTCTTTTTCTTTATTATTTTTTTCTATTTTTAACCATAGATTTTTCTTTTCTTTTATCCTGAAAAGAAAAAAGTTGGGCAAGAAGCTCTTTCTCATTTACTACTTAATAAGTCACCTCTAACTTCTTTCATTATAATTCTATTTTAAAATACACATGTAATAGTTCAAACAAAGTTTTTAAAAGAACCAAAAACAAAAAACACAAAACTCTCGCAAAGTGGAGTATTATTGTCCAATAGAATGTGATAGTCAAAGTCATTTAAACAACTGATAGTCCATCATTGTTTTTGCTAATTTTAACCGTATTCAGTACTTGATAGAAATTCTAATCCATGTAACAGGTTTTGGGAGGCATTTTGCGCTCAAAAAATAGTATTGCTGAATGGTCTTCAATCAAAGAAAGTCGAATATGGGACTTAGCTGAAGAAGAAGATAGAATCATTCCAATCTTGAAGTTGAGTTTTGATAATTTGACATCACCATCGTTGAAGCAATGTTTTGCATATTGCTCAATGTTGAGAAAAGATGTCGAAATTGAAACAGATAACTTGATTCAACTTTGGATGGCTCAGGGATTACTCCACCCTTCTCGCGACAAAAGTGAAGAGATGGAGGATGTAGGTTATGAATATTTTGATATTCTACTGCAAAGCTCTTTATTTCAAGATGCCACAGCAAATGAATATGGCATTATTAGCAAATGCAAGATGCATGATCTTGTGCACGATCTTGCAGAACTTGTATCCAAATCGGAAAGCTTGATAGAAGATAATTCCAGTTATACACTTGAGATTCAACATGTTGCTCGGGTTTCTACTTCCATGCAAGAAAGAATTCGAGACAGTTGGGTTGGGAGATTGCGCTCACTATTTTCGGATGGTGAACTCCCTAGCAACATGTTGCCAGGGTTTAAAACCTTACGAGTCTTAAATTTATTTAAGGCTAATATTGCGGAGCTTCCAACATCAATTGGAAAGCTGAAACACTTGAGGTATCTTGACATTTCAGAAACAAGATTGAAAACACTCCCAAGTTCTATTGGCAAGCTCTATAACCTACAGACATTAAGAGCAAGACATTGTGCTTTTAAAGAGTTTCCAAAAGAAGTGCAAACCTTGATCAACTTGAGACATGTTTATTGTGACAAGAGAATGAAATTTCCACGTGGGATATTGGGGAAATTGACTAGCCTCCGAACATTACCTCCCTTTTATGTGGATAAGGAGAGAGGCTGTGAAATTCAGGAGCTGGCTGCCTTGAATCAATTGAAAGGTCAATTGGTTATTTATAATCTGGAACATGTGAGGGATGAAGATGAAGCAAGGAAAGCTAAATTAAAGGAGAAGAAAAATGTACGTCACTTGATATTTTTATGGACAGAAAATAGGTCAACAACCAACAATTATGAAGAGGATGTACTAGAAGGCCTCCAACCACATCCTAAATTAGAAATACTAGCGATTGTACATTTCATGGGTGCTAAATTTTCATCATGGATGATGAATAGGTCGTCACAACTTGACAATTTGAAGAAAATTGTATTTCACGGGTGCCACAAATGTGAAGAAATCCCAGCGCTCGGCTGTCTACCTCATCTTACACTTGTTTGGATTTATGCAATGGATAATCTAAAATGTGTTGGGCTTGATTATTGCACCTCTCTCCAGGAATTGTGGATATGGGATTGCGGTAATCTAACATCAATTCGTATTACACACGGCATGGCCCTCACCTCTCTTCGGGAACTGGAAATTGGATATTGCAATGAGATATCAAGCTTGCCTGCGCTACAACAATGTCGTTCTCTTCAAAAGTTGGAGGTATCATTTTGCCCAAAGCTAACATCCATTTCATCAATATCACTCCATGAACATGAGCATAACCATGAATTTGATAGTGCTCTGCCTGCCAATGTATCTATAAGTGATGAAAATCTTCTACTGAGCAGGAGCTGTAGTAACCTTGAACAGTTGTCTATAACCTATTGTCATGGTCTACAGTCTATTCCAGAATTACAAAACTTCACATCCCTACGTCAACTGAGCATTCAAAATTGCGAAAGATTAGAAAGGTTGTTGTGTAGTGGGTTACTAATGCCCATCTCTCTTGTGGAGTTGAAAATATGTTGTGCCCCTAATTTAGAGGCTCTTCCGAGTTTAGACAACCTCACGTGTCTCTCTAAGTTGGAGATTAATTGTTGTGGCAAATTGAAATGTCTACCTATAGGGCCACACTGCTCCACCAGTTTGAAGGTTTTGAAACTTGGTGGGTTAAACCTCGATTCATTCCCTGATTTTCAGGTTGGATCATCACAGCTTGAAACATTAATATTGAGGGGGTGGCCCAAGCTAAAGTCTCTGCCTCAACAAATTCAAAACTTCACTTCTCTAACGTATTTGTCGATACAATGTTTCCATGGAGTGGAGGCTCTTCCAGAGTGGTTGGGTAACCTCACATCCCTTACGAAGCTGGAGATTTTGAATTTTAAGAACATGATGTATCTACCTAGTGTCACAGCTATTCAACGTCTCACCAAATTAAAAACCCTAGAATTATGTGGATGTCCTCTTCTACAGAGCAAAGAATGGCCCAAGATTTCCCACATTCAGCATATAGATGGTAATTTCTTCTTTCCTGAAATCAAATTTCCTTTTCATTCTTCACTTTTCAGTTTAACTACAGTTTATGTTGGTTTATTTTGTATACCAGTTTCAAGAATATATATGCCCTTCAGGAGTTCTTTTGCATTGACTTTTTATATTTTGGTTTCAGGTTTTAATCAGCATTGGTTATATTATGGTCTACTTCTCAAACCATCTTGAATGAAAAGGTTGCAAAGGTTACTCACACATTATGGAATGCTCCGGGAACGGGCAGGCTACTTGGATTGAGGGCTGGTTTTCCCCAACAGCTAATTCATTCAAAATGGAAATTTTTATAAACGCGGCCAATTGAAGGGTTGCATAGAGAGGGAGATAGATATACATATAAACTTGTGATTTTTGTTTTCATTTGGAATTTAAGAGAAAACTAGCCACAATTTTGATTTGTAACATAGAACTCTTATTTATAAGAACTGTAGGGAAAAAAAAAACAAAAAGCCCATGGTCATCCCCTGTTTCATCCTGCAAAAAGCCCTTTTATGAAGAACCTCCCATGAGTTTCACAAAGTACTTTCTTTTTTTCAAATATTCATTTCACTTGGCGTGTGCAACAAGGAATTTCCTTGAAATCGTTTGGATGATGTATTTTTGCTAAAAAGGACTGATGTTGTGACAAAGCCTTTTGAAACATATAAAAAAGGAACAAAACATGTTTATGGTTATCTTTTCTGAAGCATTTCTAATAGGAAAATACAGAGACAAGGGATGACAATTTTCTCCGTGGGTTAGGGTCTTTGTTGGGTTTCAATCCTATTGGATCAAGTATGAAGGATAAAGAATGGGTATGGGATGGGTATGGGGATGTTCAATAGGTGCAAACTTAGTTCGAATACTGATGCACAAGATATTTAGAGCCCGTTTGGTAACGTTTTCAGATAATGTTTTCAGAGAATATTTTCAAAGAATGAAAATGAGAAAACGAATTTGCATTTTTAGGATTTGAGAATCCGTCTGGTAGCTTAATTAGAATACAGTCTCAGAAAACAAAAATAGTGAAAATGTGCCTGGTAACATAAACAATGAAATATATATAATTTAACCCCAAAAAAAAAATCTGATATTTTTTTAAAGGCTGAAATTATTATAAATAATAAAAAATATATATATAATTTAAGAGATTTTCTATTTAAACCTCGCACTTCTCTTTGTTTACCCAAATACTTAAATCATTAAGCTGTAAGTTTTATTATTGTGTAAAAAGATAAAAAAAAAGTCATCCAACTTAATAATTAACCCTAGTACATCTATACACACACCCCACACACCCCACCACTCTTCATATCAAGTTTTAGAAAAATACAAACTCCTCTATATCTTATTGCCAAATTACTCTTCTCTTTTGAAAACATAGAAAATTGACGAGCCTACCTCTTTAAATATGTGTGGGAGTTGATGGAAAGGCTTGTTGATTATCAACTCAATAATACCCAAGTGTTGGAATTTCAGTTACAGTTCTTGAAGAGAGGTAATGTTGTTCTCTTTCTCTAGAAAGTATTAAATTTCGGGTGTAGAGTTCTATTTGTTTGTGTTTTTTTTCCTGGGAACAAAGAAAATTGTGGGGTTTAAATAGAAAATCTCTTTTATTTCTTATTTTTTCAGTTTGGGGTGTATTTAAGGGTAGTTTGGGAAGATAGTGGGATTTTCTTAGAAATTGTGAAAATTTAAATTAAAAGATGGGGTGAACTAAGAGAAGTGTGGGAATAGAAAATCTCTAATTTAACAAGTAAAATTTTTTATGGTATATTAGTAATTTGCCCCCTGAACTTGTACCTAATTTTCAATTAACCCCCTATCCTTTTTTTTTTTAGAAAATTAAGGATATAAACTTTTTTTTTCGCTAATTTCCCCCCTCCGTCTAAATCCACAACATTTCATCCAATTTGCCGTTAAAAATGAGGGCAAAATGGTCATTTTGTACATTGAAAATAAAAAATCCTCCATCTCGCCTTTCCGCTCTTGGAAGTCTGCGGGGTCCAAAAAGCCCCCTATGGCGTCGTCTCATCCGGCCACCCTTTCTTCTTCCACGACATTGATGAGATCCTTTGGGCTCTGATAGCAATACGCACCCATGTGGTTATTTGCTTATCCACTCTATATTTCCAATTTCTATTAAAAGAATAATATAGGAATTAGCTCATTGAGAACTTCTTCTAGAATCAGCTATTTCTACTTTTGACGTGGCAATCTTTCTGATTCGCCCTAATTCCATTGTATAAATTGCAACAGTTGCTCTATTTTGGGATCATCAATGAAATATCCAATTTTCCTCATTTCGTTTTGCCTTATTTACTATCCTTGCTGCTATAAGGTTCTATCAATTGGTATCACGAGCCAGTACGACCATGGGCAGCGCCGCCGAACGCTCCCCTTCGGTTCCGGCTCTAGAATTGGAGATCGATCTCCATCGTGAGCAAATCCAAGAGGTGCAAGAAACCTTGGCTGCTTTTTCAGTCCAAACCGATGAATTTAAAACGTCACTGAGCACCGCCATTGCTTCCCTCACCCAGCAACAGTCTTCCTTTCAACAAACCATCATGGAAGTCATCACTCGTCTCCCACCTGTTGTCACCCAACCTTCTCCCTCCTCCACGGCTTCTCCGGTCACCATTCCCTTTGGTTCTTTCACCGTACCCCGCTTCCCTCCTCTCTGCTCTACTCCCCCTGTTCCTACAGCCCCGCCACTTCTTTCACATGTCCCTTCATTTTCCACTACACCTCCCTACATCAGTACCCCCTTCCCCACCTCCCTTCCTCCCCACCACAACACCCACATACCAGTCACCCGTATCTTCCCACCCCCCCATCTTTCTTTTTCTTCCACTTCCCTACCCCCACATATCCCACCCTCCACTTTCGCCACCCCATCCCAGCTCAAAACCCCCAAAATTGACCTCCAACGGTTTTCTGGGAAGGACCCATATGCTTGGTTAATCACCGCAGAGCGATACCTGGATTTACACGAGATTCCAACTCACTTAAAAGTTAAGGTCGCTGCTGTTCATATGATTGATGATGCAGCTTTGTGGATGCAATGGTTTGAGAATCGTTTTCCGTCGGCATCTTGGACATCTTTCTCTGAAGCCCTCCTTGCTCATTTCGGCTCCGGTGACTCCTTGGATGTAACCTCTGATCTGTCCCATATCCAACAAACTGGTTCTTTGGATGATTGTAATATCGAATTTGTTCGCCTTTCTTGCCGAGCTCTCGATTGGACAGATGACCAGTTGAAAGGAGTTTATGTAGGCGGCCTCGCACCAGATCTTCGTGGTGATGTTATTGTTCAGAATCTAGCAACCCTTCATGAGGCTAAGCGGCTTGCCCACGCATTTCACAATCTTCGTTTGTTCCAGCGGTCTATGGCACGCTCCTCTTTCAGCCGCCCTACTAATTCCTCCTTGTCAAGACAGGACCAACCGGCCCCACTCCATCCTACTTTACCACCGGGTTCTCCACCCATCTGTCGCCTCACTGCTGCTGAAATTCAGGATCGCCGCGCAAAGAATTTATGTTTTAACTGTGACGAACCTTTTCGTGCCGGTCACCGGTGTAAACGGCCACAACTTCTCATGGTAGAGGCTGATTGGGAGGCTTCTGATGACTCTTTTGAGGAACTCATTACCCACGAAATTGCCCATGGTCCTGACTCCACTCCCCAACCAGCCTTAGACAATGACCCGATCATTTCCATCCATGCATTAACTGGCACACCTCGGACCCGCACCATGCGCCTCCAGGGCCAAATTGGCAACACGGGCCTCACTGTCTTTATAGATACTGGATCTACTCACAATCTATTAAACTCCCACTTGGCTAAACGCTTGGGCTTGCAGATTGATACTTCTACACCACCCAGGAAAATTCAGATTGCTAATAATGACTTCATCCACACAAAGGGGCTGGTCCATCAAGTTCACATCAATCTTCAAGGTTATGAATTGTTTACTGATTGTTATTTGCATGCAGTTTCGGGTTGCGACCTCATTTTAGGGGCAGATTGGTTAGACACTCTGGGTTTGATTGGATGGCATTTTAAAAACAAAACCATGGTGTTCAAGGTTGATGGTCAAGTCCATCGCTTGGTGGGCCAAACAGACCCACCCGTTACTTTTGTGGACTGCCACTTGTTGACTCATCTTTCAGCCCAAGCCCAGCAAGGCATGTTAGCCCAATTGATAGCCATTGAAGACCTGCCAGTTCCACCCTCTTCTCCACCCCCTGCAATTCAACAGTTGCTCCTCCAGTACAATGACCTATTCTCTCCACCAGCTGCCTTACCACCCCACCGTTCAATCGACCACAAGATTCCACTAATTCCAGGGGCAACGCCGGTCAATGTCAGACCCTACAGATATCCCCACTTTCAGAAACATGAAATTGAGACCTTGGTGAACGAGATGTTAGAGACAGGGGTAGTTCAACCAAGTAGTAGTCCATACTCCTCCCCAGTCCTTCTGGTTAAAAAGAAAGACAATGGTTGGCGCCTTTGTGTTGATTATAGGGCCTTGAATGCCGTCACGGTCAAAGATCGATTTCCAATCCCAGTTATTGATGAGCTCCTCGATGAGTTGCACGGAGCTGTGATCTTCTCTAAATTAGACCTTCGTTCTGGCTATCATCAAATCCGAATGCATCCGTCGGATATATCGAAAACAGCCTTTCGCACTCACGATGGTCATTACGAATTTCTTGTCATGCCGTTTGGTCTATCAAATGCGCCGTCAACATTTCAGGCCCTCATGAACGATATTTTCAGGCCCTATCTTCGTAAGTTTGTTCTTGTTTTCTTTGACGACATTCTCATTTACAGTACCTCTGTAGCTGAGCATTTGGTGCACTTGACCTCTGTTTTTGATGTCCTAAGTAAACACAGGCTGCATTTGAAACTGTCCAAATGTGCTTTTGGCCAAACTACTATCCATTATTTGGGTCATGTGCTTTCTAGTGAAGGTGTGGCAGTAGACCCTTCAAAAATCCAGTGTATTGTGGATTGGCCTCAACCGAAGGGTTTGAAATCTTTGCGAGGTTTTTTGGGTCTCACAGGCCCTCTATGTCTCCGCCCTTTTCCTCCACCAGCCCGAACCCATCGTCCCAACTCGATGTCTCCAAGTCCAAGGAAAATGTCACCGTCACCATCAAGTTTCGCCCCCTTAGGTACTGCTTCTTCTACGATTGGGTTGTTGTTGATGTGCTGTGCTGGAGGAACTCTGAAGTGGAGTTGGGTTGAGCAGCTTTCACTCAAACTTTTGACTTTGTATCATCAGCCTTATTGTGTCAAGATGCCCTTATAGTTACAAAAAAATATGCAAATCAAATAAGACAGGAAACAATAACCTTGTAAGGTCAAAGACCTAAAATATGCCGCATTATAAATTCCACCTCTGCCAAAAACACCTAATTTGGTTGCAGCAGCACCGTTTCTTTTCTTCTTCCTTCCCTGTTTCTTTTTTTTCTTTCTTTCTTCGTCTTCTCTCATTTCTCTTTTCTTCTTCCTCTTCTCAACTTAGATTTCGCTCTCTCTCTAATTATCTATCCTTGTCTCTCTCTCTCTCTCTCTCTCTCTCTCTCTCTCTATATTTCCCTGATCAAAGTCACAGATCTTCTGGGTCTGGAAAATAGGGAGCTGGGCTGGTTGGGTTTTGGGTTGAGATGGTAGCTTTGAGGGATTGACCTGGGGGAGAAAAAGGAAGGGGAGGGTGCGTGAGATTCTTTTTCTTTAGTGTTTTTTTTTTGTTTGTCAATTTTCCTCTTTTTCTTTAATTTTTTTCAAAAAAATAATTTTTAAAAATTATTTAACTGAAAATTGGATGAAATGATTAGGATTTAGACGGTAGGGGGAAATTGGAGATAAAAAAAAGTTCATATCCTTAATTTTCTTTTAAAAAAAAGGATAGGGGGTTAATTGAAAGCGAGGTACAAGTTCGGAAATCACTAGTAAACCCAAAATTCTAATGTTTTTAAAAGGGTAAAATTATTTTATCCACTTTCTTTTTCCGTTTTTCTGATTTTTCTTTCTTTCTTCCTCTTTTCTCCTTTCTCCTTTCTCTTTCTTCTTTCTCTTTCTTCTTCCTTCCCAGGCCACTTTTTATTTTTCTTTCTTCCTCTTCTCTCCTCTCCTTTCTCTTTTCTTCTTTCTTCCCAGATCCCACCTTGATGTAGTACTGTATCTGCCTATACTCTATTTTTTTTTTAAAAAAAAAATCATTTCTCTCTCTTTTCACTCTTCTTGGTTTCGTTGTTTTGTGGTTCTCCAACATCGGCGCCGGCGTAGCATAATGGAATGGGTAGACCAGCCTGAACTCAAGGTCAACAATGGTTGTTGACAACGATGGGTCTGGGTTGAAGGAGATGGTTTCTATAGCGGTGCTGCTCAGTTGATTGGAGAAAGAGAGATTGGGACAAAATGAATTTTCGTATCTTCAGAAAATGAAAACGTTGAAATTGAAAACAACATTTTATCTTTTTCAACTTTTGTTCACAAAGTTAGATTTGTTTTCAGAAAACATTTTGTGAGGGAAAACAAAAGCAATCCACAAAACGTGTATTTGTCGAGAAACAGAAAATGAAAATAGAAAACGGGCTCTAAAAACATTATCTCCAAGCTCTAAAGGTATGGGGCTCGTTTGGTACATCGGACTGTATTGACTAATTTCAACCACACTACCAAGGTGTCTTGAGGGTTTTAATTTGAGACCACTGGTCTGCAAATCAAAATTCTTTTTTACTAGACTAGACCCAGTTAGTAGTCCAGAAGTTTTGCTGTCTCCAATCCAATTATAAAAAAAGCAAAAAAATTAACTGAAAATTACAGCGTACTTGTAGTACCCCTTCAAGATTTACAACCGTAACACAATTTAAATCCCGAAGTCACGGCAGCAATACTCGCCGCTTTTACCCCCCAAATATGAAGCTCCACCGCCTTAAAGACCAAAAACCCCATCTCAACGTTCGAAATTCCCCCACTATCCCCATCACATTGAAGCCCTTTTCAGTAATTTCCACCCAACATAACGTAAAAATATCAACCACTCCCTCCAGTCTGAGTCTTCCCTCACACACAGAAAGACACACCCACTCCCCCTTTTTTTCTCTCTCTTCTTTTTTTTCTCTCATTGGAGCCATCGAATTAATATAAAAAGAACGAAGAAGGTGCAATCTCGACCGTCCATCTCCCATCCGACGGTCCTCGCGAGTCGGCGATTGGTTTCACCCAAAATTCCCCCTCTGTGGTTTTTATCATAAACCCTAGCCGATACCAGTCCCCAAAACGCACTCTCCCGCCTCTCTCTCTCTCTCTCAAACGCAAATCCCAAAACTCGATCGATCTTCTCTCTCTCGTTCTCTTTCAGATCTCAGTTGTGTAGATTTGTTTCCTCTGTAAATTAGTATCCTGTATGTACTTGTGTACTTCTTCCTCATAATCTCTCTCTTGATTTTCTTTCTGAAACACCCAGAGCTTTCTTATTTTTCTTTTTGGTTGAGAAAATCTAAAACCGAAATCTAATCGGTTCCTTTTTTTTCTCTTCTTTCTTTATTTTTTTTTTCCGATTTTTTGTGTGATTATTTTTAATCGGTTTTATTTTATTCTTCTCTGTATAAGAAAATAAAATCTGTATTTTCATCGTTACTAATGAGCCAAACTCGTTCCCAGTCCCGAGTCGAAATGAATCCATAGAGTTCCGACTTCTCCCAGCCCTGAAAATGGCGCCGGACCATGAGAGCTCCGTCGCTGCCGCTTTCTTCGGTTGAGAGTTCCAAGCACCCCGAGTTTGCGACTGAGTCGACTCGGAGATCGACTCGGCGACTCACTGAGTCAAGGAGGAGCAGCAGGAGGAGGTCCGGAGTGGTGTTGCTTCGGAATCTGAGCACGGAAATGCCATCGGTGGAGATGAGACGGACGACCAGGGTTTTCGGGATGGGGATGGTGAAGGGTGGGGTCGATGGGGCTCGGGTCCTGCGTTCCGGGCGCCGCCTCTGGCCCGAATCCTCTGAGTCCAAGCTCGAGAGGGCCCGCAATGGCGACGAGGACTGGCTCAAACTCATGAAAAGCCATGCCGGGGACTCTGTTGGATTAAATCACAAGAAATGGGCTGGGGCCAACCAAGTCGGTAGTCCAAGGCGAAACACCCCTGTTTTGAAGACCTCAGTGGTCAAGAAGCCTCAAAGCAATGAGCTTTTGGCTGACGGGCTCCAAGAGCATAAGAGTTATGGGATTGTGTATACCCGAAAGAGGAAGCGTGCCAGTGCAAGTATTTTAGGGAATGTAGAGAAGGAAAGTGGATCTGATGATAGAATGTATGGGCGGAGGTTTGCTCGGAGGCAGAGGATGAAGAAGAGTAAGGAGTTGGATTCCCATCTGGGTTTTGTGTGCCCAGAAGTGCTTTGCCTTTCGGTGGAGTCTTCATGGGCTCAGGGTTATTGGGCTGCTCGGTTTTTGTATTCTGTTTTGGTGTACATGACGAGGGCCAGTCTTGGGTTGACTGAATTTTCTGAATTTCTTGCTTTAGAGCCGATTGGCAGCATTTTTGCCTCCTATGGCATTCAGTTCTCGCGGGTAAGTGGTGGTTGTCCACTACATTTGATTATTTAATTGCAAAACGATCTCCTTTTGTGGTTTGTGAATGTGTTGTTGCTTTTCAATTTGGTCATGAGTTTGATTTATTTTTTATTTATTAAACCTTGTTTCAGGATCGTTCTTGTACTAGGTCTGGGGTTTGCAAGCTTTTTGGGGCCGAGCAGTTTATCCCATTGTTTTCTGTGGACTTTTCTGCCGTTCCTGGGTGTTTTATGTTCATGCATACCAGCATGCATCTTAGATTACGTTGTCATCCAACTGTAAATAATCAGATTGATGGGCATGAAAATGACGAATTTATTGATCAGGGAGATGATGATGATGATGATGATGGTGAAAAAGTTGATTGTATTGAGAACAGGCATGCGTTGCAGTCAAGTGTAAGAGTTCCCAAATTAGCTTGTAGAAGCACCCAGTACAGGAATGGTTTAACCTCGCGTGGTATTCAGAAGCGGAGGAGTTCATTGAGGAGAAGACGGTCTAGAAATCCTTCACTGGTTTCCCTACGCAAACCCAATGGAGCCCTAGTTTCTGAGTTAATCAGTATTAGGAAGAATGGCCTCCCTTTTTCTTCTGTAGAATCTAAGCATATGCTTAGGAAGTCAGTTTCATTTTCTCCTGCAGGAAACTTGAAAGCAGAGAGTTTGACCATGGAGGGATCAAAACGGGATTTAGATTCGACAAGCTGCTCAGCGAATATATTGGTCACTGAATTAGACAAATGTTATAGAGAAGATGGGGTAACTGTCATGTTAGAAATGTCTTCATCTGGAGAGTGGCTTCTTGTGGTCAAGAAAAATGGATTAACCCGATACACTCACAAGGCAGAGAAAGTAATGAGGCCGTGCTCTAAAAACCGTATAACGCAGGCTATAATATGGTCTGCAGATAGTAATGGTGATAGTAATTGGAAGTTAGAGTTTCCCAATCGATGTGACTGGTCTATTTTTAAGGATCTTTACAAGGAGTGTTCTGATCGTGTTGTACCAGCTCCAGCTATTAAGTTCATCCCAGTGCCTGGGGTGCGTGAAGTCCCAGGTTATGCGGATAGCCACAGTACTCCGTTTGACAGACCAGAATCATACATATATCTGAATGATGATGAGGTGTCTAGAGCCATGGCAAAGAGGACTGCGAATTATGACATGGACTCTGATGATGAGGAGTGGCTGAAGAAGTTCAACAGTGACTTCTTTGCGGAGAATGAACTTCATGACCATGTTTCGGAGGATAATTTTGAATTAATGGTTGATGCCTTTGAGAAGGCATTTTATTGTAGACCGCATGATTTCTCTGATGAGAATGCAGCTGCTAATATTTGTCTGGATATGGGAAGGAGGGAAGTAGTAGAGGCTATATATAGTTATTGGATGAATAAACGGAAGCAGAAAAGGTCATCATCACTGCTTAGGGTATTCCAGGTACTAGTGACATTATGCTTCAGATATTATGTTGTATATTGGAAATACATATATGTCAAGTTATTTAATGTATATATGATGGGATTCTTAATGCCTCGGGAAAATTTTGGTTTGACTTGTTTCTTTGTTAGATGGGGAATATTTATAAGATTATTTCAATCAAAATTACTAATTTGTGTTTGTAATTGTTCTGATTTATTATTGTAGATAAATTTAGTTGATGATTGTTGTATAATTGAAATTTATCACCATTCTTTTCAATGATGAGTAGTTCAGCCCCCGTCCTCCTCTCTCT